TTAATTATTTGATTAAAGTATTTGGGAAAAGTTTAAACTATCAGAGATGCATTGACTCGGTGCTCCAATGGTCCAGATTATCTCTGAATGTTGGTAGATTGGGATTAAAATCTGCAGGTTTTCTTATTCACCAAAAAGCTTCACTGACTGATAGAGGAACCAGCAGCAATGGATGCAGGAGGTTTTATTCATTTTCCTGTTGCAGAATTCTTCAAATATTTAAAATACGAACATATTCAGCCGCAAACATCTTTAATAACTTAACTTTGTTCTCTATATAAGCTACTGGAACCAGATTATCCCAGGAGGAGGGATAAATAAAGTCTACTGGCTTTAAAATCCTGACAGAAAGCAGCCTGAAGCTGTTTGGAGGAGCCGCCAAGGCGAGTTCCGTCCCCTGCAGCATCCACGCCTCGGGCTGCAGGAGGAAGTGGAAGTGAGTTTTAGTCACGAGACGGCGGCTCCGTCTCTGCTGGACTCAGTGCAAGTTGAGACCCATGTGTTGATGTTTGGCGCTCTCTCGCCGTAGCCGCCCGGTCGCTGATGGATCTGGCCCTGCGGGGAATGTGGAGATTTGGTTTCTGGGAGCATTGTGTGAGGCGGCGCTGGTTGTTGTTATGGTGGTTTCAGAGGCGCCGACAGATGGATGTGCTTTGGTGTTTTTAACAGTTAAGTGTGAAAACTATCCCGGCGCTGCGCTTCTAGTCTGAAGACGTCTCACGGATCGGCTCGCTGTGAGGATTAAAGTGACGGAGCAGGTGGTTTTCATGGCGGACGCTTCCTGCTCTGCTCTTCCAGGGTGCATGGACTCAGCTTCTCGTTACCTTCTCTGCCGGGTTGTTGGTTCCCTTCAGGCCCCTGCGCTCCGGGTCAGAGCATTTCACGTCGTCTGTGTTAGATCCTCCGCTCACACACAACCATGTTAGGGACAAATGTGCATTTTAGGCTCCCAGTATATGTATCTATATATGTGTGTGTGGGAGATTCAGAGTTCTTCTCTTGAAATCCTCCCAGAATTCCTTGCACCTCTGCAGGCTGCAGCGGTGGTGGTTCCTGCAACAGCAGGCTGATTTCCATGAGAAAAGAGCATCAGTGGGGTTAATGGGAGGGACAGCCCTTCCAAGGGACAAATGGTGGTTAATA